TTGTCAAAGAGGAAAGAAGATGTTAGGGTTAAAGGAGGAACTAGAAAGGAAAACATGGCCTGGCAAAGCCACTCGAAATGTGCAGTCTCTCCCCATGATTCACAGAGCCCTCCGCTGCAGCCCTGTCTGAATCCAAAATGGAATTTATGTTCCTCACTTTGAAACGTTCAGTCCAATTAGATCCATTTGCCCTAATTTCCACAGGTCTCTGCACCATCACTAACTTGCAGAAAGTTTGCCATCTTTTCCTCCTGCCACTCGGAGCCTCTGGTTTGTGAGGACTGTGCCTGGCCTCTTACTAATTTCCTCTGCCTTCTTGTCACTCGGCTCTGCCCCTGAGAGTTTTCCCTTGGGATTTTTCCATCTCTTCCCGCTGCTATTTTGAAATAGATCTTTGGTTTCTGGGGTTCTTTCCATTGAATCTTAAGCATATTTTTGTGATTCCTATTATTAAAAAATCCTTCCTCGATCATCAACCTCCGCCTAAGCATGAACCAATTTCTTCACTTGTATTTTGGGCTACGTTCCTGGAGAATAGAACTTGACCTGCCTTTCTGCAATCACAGCAGCTCTCCCACCCAGATTCCTGAGCTAGTCACAGCCCACAAATAGCATTCAGAGATCTACTTGGAAACCTCTTACTACTCAGATCTGAAGGGTTTTCATCAGCCCTGATTGTATTTAACTTAGCTTCTGATTTGAGGATTCAATTGGTCACTAAGACTCTTTGTCAGCCTCAGTTATATTTATTCTCTTTCCTCTTTTAAGGCTCTCCACGCATCCCAGCCAGACTTCATACAACTAGATGTGACCTTACATTCTTCTCCGAGTAATGCTAAATTCGATTTTGAAATCAAGATCTTTCTTGCATCCAAACCTGTTACCTGGATGGTGCAACCAGTCCCAGGTCTTTTGATGGCACTTCTTATCAGGATAAAATATAGACTCATGGTGGCAGATAGGTTGCACTGTGCATGCTGGCTCTAATGCCGAAGTTATAAGGACTCTGAGGACTTGTCAGATTTAAAGGGGGGAAATGTGGCTGTTGATTAGCCAAGGCTGCTGATGTTTATGGGAGAGGAGAGTGGAGACACAGATGTCAAATGTTTGCTAACCCTGGAACCTTTCTCTTCTCTGATGACAATGGCTTGGGACTGACTTGCCAATAACAATTATAAGAAAAATGAGATCTTTAGACTTTAGACCTGAAATAAATCTTACAGTATAATTATTGAGTACTTATTCTATGCCAGAAATTATGCTAAATTCTTCCTGTAATTCCTATGTCTTAATCCTCACAGGCACTCTTGATGGGTATGTTATTATTATCCAACTGAAGGGCAAAGAAGAATGTGACTCCAAAAGTTTCTGTAGCTTCTCTGGTGGCTGTATAGCTAATACGTGGGGAACCTGGTTCTGAACCCAGTTCTGTCTGACTTGAGAACTGACCACTGATGAGAAAAGTGGGACAAAATTAAGTTTCACTTGTAGGTTTATGCAGCAGAGATAAACCCTTTTCACCCTCCTCCTTTACACAGAGGAAGACTACATTTCCCAGCCTCCCTTGCAATTAAGTGGGATCCAGTTCTGGCCAGAGTGGAATGTGAGTGGAAGTGATCCATGCAACTTCCTGGTTCCAGGCCCATACATTTTCTCATGCTTCCTACTCTCTCCTTCTCTCTTCCTCTCCTGCTCAGACATGGACTGGAAGACTGTGAAGCCCTGGGAGTGGTGGAGCCAATAACGGGAAACATCTCAGGTCCCTGAATGCCTTGGTGATGCAGAACCCACTGCCGGCCACATTGATCTGTGATAAGTGTGAGCAATAAACTTTTATTATGCAAATCCAATCATATTTGGGGAGGGGGTGTTTGTCACAGAAGTTAGCCTGTCCCAGAAAGTTCACAACTCCGGTCTCCTAATGTCCAGTCTGTGTTTTTCCCACTTCCAGCACTCTGTGTCAAAATGTATTCTCCAAAACCGGCTCCTCAAGTCCTGCTCATTTGATTTCCCATCAGTTCTGTAGTTTACCACAGATGTACATATCTCTGTTTTCTATACATTTGCTGCCACAATGACATTTCACTCTTCATCTTCATATCTCTTGATCCCTAGGGAGGCCCACTATCATGACAGCCATGGGACCCTTGCCCTCAAATAGATGCCTGCCATTTCATACTGACCTGAGTTTTGGTCCTGTCTCTCCCTGTCCCCCAAATATCTGAACTAGAACTTATTTCCCCATCAAGTGTACTTCCCTCTTACACTAAATTTCGATTTTTGCATGTAAATAATATTGTTGTTCTGACTCTGGGCTTAGGATAAGAAGCTTAATATGTTCTCTGAAAATTGGAATTCAGATTCAGATTTTGTAGGGTTTCTTTTTCCCAGTATTTTCTTCCTTGTTTGGTTGTTTATCTGGTGTGAAGCTTACGTTCCAGACTTGCTGGCATCCTTTGAAAGGAAAGGTGTGGCTTACAGAAGTTTTGTTATGCTTTGTCAAACACAAAAACATTCGTGCTTGTTAACATTCTGTTGTTATCATGGTGTCTATCTGACGCTCTCATGTATGTTTAATACACGGTAGTACTGTTTATGGAATCACTTCATTATAATTACAGTAGGGGCTCATGATCACAGCAGCAGGAAAGAAGCCATGGGCTTATTGAACCAGCTTGTTGTGAACCAAGTGCCCCTTTCTGGGTGAATGCAAACGGGCAGACTGTACGGGTGCTGCCACACCACCTTGCCGTGAGGCTGTATGTTCATACGGGGCTCAATTTTCAGCCTCCTCCACATCCCTGGGGAGCATTTCCACACCCTCACTGAGTTATCTCTGCTCAAAAACTGCATGTGATGGACCCTTGTCCATGAAACTGCCATAGGGGTATCAAAGATTAGAACAGTAGAAAGAAATTGGGCCAATAATAACAACAATAATATATACCTGTGAGTGTGTGTGTGTGTGTGTGTGTGCTCGTGTGCATATATTGCATTTCATTCTGCTTCATTTTATTTCAGCTTTTGGAATGAGATGATTCTGTAGAATGCCATTCATGGAAACGCCATGCTCAAGGCTTCCTAGAGAAAAGCAAAGAGCAAAGGAACTACAGAGGAGACAAGAAAAGCACTGCTGGAGAGGAAGGAGGTTTTCTTCTGAGATTGTGAGATAAAACTAAGGATGGAGGCAGAACATTCCAGAAAAGGAATCATCCATCCAGGTCAGCATTTCCCAAAGTGTATTTTCTGGAATTCTGGTTCTTGGGAGGTTAATAGTTGCTAATATAAAGCAAAATATTTTGCGTTCAAATGAGTCTTTAAAAACCTGGGTGAACCAAATTAAATTGGTTCCTTCTCAGGTCTTGGGTTACGGTAAGGAGCACTTCAAGAGCAGAGGCGATACAAAGCCAGTTTTGCAGGAACAGCTGGTCAAGGTCTCTAATTACACGGACAGGCTTATCGAAATAAAACATTCCATCATCACCACCATTAATAACGAGCAGTAGAATGGCAGTTATTTTGCAAAACATTTTGACCTGGAAATTGGGAGACTCAGAAAATCTAGGGGCTTTTGAAGGACATTTGATTTCATTTGTATAATGTCCAGGCATAGGTTACACCTACCTTTGAAGCTGTTTTGACAATAAATAACTATTAATCAATTTAGGAGGGAAAAATTACAAATTCTAGATATTACTGACTGGATTTATTGTAATTTGACTTCCCATATCCATGAAGGTGGCAGGAAGGACATGAAGCCCTGGCTTCTCGTTTTCCTCCTTAAATCAGAAAAAAGAAGCCACACTTTACTGTCACTACTTTGCCAGACTCACGTCTCCAACTATGTCCTCCTATCCTTCTACATCCTGTACCCACACCCTTCCCTGAATCCCCACCACCTTCCCTGCCAACTACCCTTCTATGAGTCCATCACTCTTCATTGTCTCTTTCCTCCCTTTCTACCTCCTATGATACTTAACTATCCCTCAGCTTTATCACAAATCTTCCTTGGTTACCACCTTCTCTTTACCACCTAATTTTCCAAAGAAGAGTCTGCTCTCTGCTTCCTTCACTTCCTTATTTTGCCTCCTTCCTTAATCTTTTGTAATATGATTTTTATTTAAAAAGATCTCTCCAAACAGAAAATATTTGCCAATTGTATATCTAATAAAGATTTAATATCCAAAACATATAAAGAGCTCCTAACGCTCAACTACAAGAAGACAAGCAACACTGTTTTTAAATGGGCACAGGACTTAATTAGACATTTTATAAAGAAAACATACAACTGGCTAATAAGCACATGAAAAGATGCTCCACATCATTAGTCATTAGGGAGATGCACATCGATACCACAATGAGGTACTGCTTCAGATCTACTAAGACAGGTGTAATTTAAAAAATCCACAAATCAAAACAAGGGTAGGAAAGGGTATGGAAAAATCAGAATCCTTCTGTATTGCTGGTGGGAATGTACAAGGTGCAGCCATCGTGGAAAATAGTGTCTTCCTCAAAAGCTAAACGTAGAAATACCATATGATCCAGCAATTCTACTCTTAGGTACAAGCCCAGAAGAATTGAAAACGGTGACTTGAACAGGCACTTGTATGCCAGTGTTCACTGCAACATAATTCACAATAGCCAAAATGTGGAGACGACTCAAGTGTCTGTTAACACGTTAATGGATAATAAAACGTGGTGTATGCTTACAATGGAGTATTATTCACCCCTAAAAAGCAAGAAACTTCTAACACACGCTGCAACATGTATAAACCTTGAAAAATTATACTAAGTGAAATGAAGCAGACATAAAAGGACAAATACTGTCCAATTCCACTTATATGAAATATCTAGAACAGGAAAATCCATAGAAACAAAAAGTAGATTAAAAGTTACCAGGGGTTTCAGGGGAAGGAGGAGTAGGGAGTTATGGCTTACTGGTTTAACAGTTTACAGAGTTTCTGTTTGGAATAATTTTTAAAAGTTTTGGAAATAGATGGTGGTGACGGTTGCACAACATGGTGAATGTAATTAATGCCACTGAATTGTAGATTTAAAATTGTTTAAAATGCTAAATTTTATGTTATATATATTTACCACCAAAAAAGGCCTTTCCAAAGAAATACTTTTCTTGAGGCAAGACAGGGCTCTGTGGACGCATGGAAATCTTTTCAGCAGAATATTTGCCACTTGCTCAGATGCTACTCTCAGTAAGGTCTTCCTGACCTCTTTATTTTAAATTGCCGCCCTCCCCTACCTTAGCGGTCCCATATCCCTTCCTTGCTTGAATTTTCTCTATTCATTTGTCTTTATCAAACTGACATATAGTTTAATTAATTATCTGTTTTTAGTATATCTCTCCCAGCTGGAATGTAAGATCTAGGAGGGCAGAGATTTTTACCAGTTTTTCCTCCTCTGCCCTATCGTTGGTTCCTAGGACTGTGGCTAGTATAGTGTGGGCTCTCAGTATTTTTTCCAGCAATAAATTTTAATTAATTAATTATTTTTATTGAAGTATAGTCAATACAATGTTGTGATCACTTCTGGTGTACAACATAGTGCTTCTTTATGCATACATATATATATATACATATTCCTTTTCATATACTTTTTTATTATAGGCTATTACAAGGTATTGAATATAGTTCCCTGTGTTATACAGCAGGACCTTGCTGTTTATCTATTTTATATATAGTAGTTAGTATCTGCTAGTCAACGCATGTTTTTGAAATGACAAATCAGTGAATACATTCCTAGAAGAAGCTCCAATATTCTCTGAGTGGGACAAGTATTTCTTTTTTTTTTTGTTATATATATATATATATATATATGTATATGTATTTTTTTTATTGAAGTATAGTCAGTTTACAACGTTTTGTCAGTTTCTAGTGCACAGCACAATGCTTCAGTCATACACGAACATACATATATTCATTTTCATGTTCTTTTTCACCATAAGTTACTATAAGATATTGAATATAGTTCTGTGTGCTATACAGTATAAATTTGCTGCTTATATATTCATTAGTATCTGCAATCTCAAACTCTCAATTTAACCCTTCCCACCCCTTTTCCCCCGTAACCATAAGTTTGTTTTCTATGTTTATGAGTCTGTTTCTGTTTTGTAAATAAGTTTGTCTTTTTTTTTCTTAGATTCCATATGGTATTTTTCTTTCTCTTTTTGGCTTACTTCACTTAGAATGACAATCTGCAGGGCCATCTATGTTGCTGCAGATGGCATTATTTTATTCTTTTTTATGGCTGAGTAGTATTCCATTATATAAATATTACCACAACTTCTTTATCCAGTCATCTGTCAATGGACATTTAGGTTGTTTCCCAATCTTGGCTACTGTATATAGTGCTGCTATGAACATTGACTTTCTTATTCCATATTCCTTACCTGCCCTTTGGATGACACAAGGATTCATTTCCTTCTCTTTTAAGAAAGCTGAGCCAAGGAATAAAAAGAACAGGGAACCACCTGAGGTATAATAAGATATCAGAAGATGGGGCGAGTAGGGGACAGGATTCAGGACACCAAAATATGGCACTTCAGAATATTGAATATTTTGAGCTGAAGGAATTTGAGAAATGGCAAGTATTAGAAAGACTCTTTGACCTTCCCCTCAAGCAGGTCCTAAGCCTTCTTGAGAGAGATGCCCCGCCCCAGGAAAGGAGCATCCTTGTCTCAGAAGACAGAGGGACCCCAAGTCGAATCCAGATGAGCAGGTCTTCCTACGTTTCCCCGTTCACCCTCCTCAGCTCACACCCACGTCCTAGCACGTCTTCCCAGGACTGTCTGCTCTGCATCGCACCCGGCAGACACACACTCAGGTTTCACCAGTTCTTGGGGTCTTCATTTCCTTGTGAAGCTCATGTCACATAAAACTTACAGTAAGTCAACTTGTATGCTTTTCTTTTGTTAATCTATCTTCTGTAATAAAGCTCCAGTTGAGAACTTAGAAAGATAGAAGGAAAAGATTGTTTATCTCCACTGAACAGCCGAAATAGATTTTTTTTAAATGGAAAGCCACCACAATTGCATTTTTAAAAATATCTGCTATTTCCTCTGCTAAGCTAACCAAAAGCAGGCTGGGCTCCAAGGAGCTTCTTACTCCAGATGAGCTTGCCTTCATTTGCAAGGGATTATACAAAGACAAGGACAATTAAACAAAAAATAACTTTTTCATTCACAACATGACAGCGCTGAGAAAATAGCAGGAAGAGACAGAGAAGGAAATCCTCACCACCTGATGAATGGATGTTATCACTGCTGGGAAAAGCCCAGGGGGTGGGGCATTGGGCCAGGCGTACCCCCTTCTCTGGATTCAGCCCCCAGTGCCCACTCTTGGTGCTTTGAACCCAGAGGAGGCCTCCTGCTCCAGGCTGTCCTGACTGGCTCACCCTGGCCTCCTGCTTCCCGCTTTCCCTGGCCTCCCTCTAGTCTGTGTTCCCTGGGGTTGCTAAGCTGTGTGGAGTCTGAGTTCCTGCAGGTTTCAGGCGGTGTGATGCTGCTGCTTTTTCTCCCTCAGTCCCTGCCCAGGAGCAGATGCCTCACATGTACTTGTTGATTGGTTCCAATTGAAATGGGAGTTCCAAGCAATAACATTGGTCACGCCGCCAGCACAAATCCACAGGCATCCCAGAGGTCCGAAAATATTCAAATGCACGTGGCCTGCTGAAATTATTGTTATATTTCAGGCCCAACTCAAATATCTCCTCTGCTTTGAAGCCTTTCTCGAGGGTCCTCTGGTGTCCTCTCCGGGCACTGAGTGCATCTCTCTGTAGAGTTAAGTGATTGCATGTTTGCTCCCTTCTATTCTGGAATTGCCTTCCAGACAAAACAGCACTTCCATGTACCTGTACGGCTTGTCCGAGGACCAGGTCTGATGTAGAGGAGATTATCAATGAGCATTATTTGTTGAAGTTCTCTGATTGTCTCTGCCTCCCTGTCTTCTCTCTCCCTCTCCCCTCCTCCTCTCTTCTTTCCATCCAATTTTCCTTCCCTCTTACTCTCTTCTAGGATATCAACCTAGAACTTTTAATGGGCTCTTCCAGAAATTGACTCTTGAAAGCGCACACCAGGATTTGGCCATCTTCCCGGGAATCCTTCTGTGCCCCTGAAGATATTATTCCTCATTCTGTCTCCTTCTTTTATCACAATCAATAGTTCTTAGAACAAGGGTTCCTTAAAATCCCATATGAAATTATATGTGTG